TCATTATAGGACGGAGGGAGTATCTATTTTAAAATGATATTATATACAAATTGATGTAGAAATAAAAAGTACTCCGTATAAGTTAGATATTTAAATTTTAAACACTACCAAAATTTATACTCTGTATAAAAAATTGGCGACATAAATATTTTATTTCAACAAATGACCAAGGAAAAAGGACTCGCAAACAAAAATTATTGAAAGTTTGACATACTTCCTCAGTCCGTACATTTCTTCCCCAATTTTACTTTCGTAGTCACATTTTTAAAATTTTGACTATAAATTGCAGAAAAAATACATTCAATTAACATATAAATCTAATATTAATGGATTCATTTCAAAATGTAGTTTTGGAATATTATATTTTTTGTAATATATGAATTGATATATTAATGATCAAAATATTGCACTAGAGATTGTGAAAAGTGAAATGAGAAAGACATTTATGGACGAATGGAGCAGTAAACCTGAAATATTTTTGGGTGACGGATGGGAGGGAATAAATATTCTGACAAGAATAACACAAAAACTTGTCACGAGTGCCTCCATGGATGTCAATCGCAAATACTTTTATACATGCACAGACAATAATCGCCTGTGTCCTGAGATGATTATCGTTTGTGTACATCCACTGTGATGAATATTACTCCACTCCGTAATACTCCTTTCATCCTAATTTAAAATATCTGTTTCAATTTATGATATTTGACTGGAATTATTTTCAATGTAATTTACTAGAGAATTGGAGTGGAATTAAAAAATAAACTTTACATATGAAAAAATTAAATCAAAATCTTTGAGAAATAAGAGATGACATGATTATATTATTTTATCAAATGAATAACTAAAACAAGAAAAGAAAAATAAATAAAATTTGACCTTATGAATTATAAAGAGGGTATATGTGTATAGGCATGCAGGACGTACAATTAGGTTGAAAGAGAACCATTTTAATATTAATGGTAGATGAGAATCGTGTTATCGTTACAATACGTACGTACCCACCTGCCTTCTTTACGATTCCATGCTCCTAAATTATTCATAAACTCATTTTACTTAATGTTCGAACAAAATTATTTTTAGTTTAATTTATTTAAATAATGATATATATATACAATCTTAAAAATAAACGTTGAATATTTTAAAAATACATAAAAAAAAATTCTTCAAAAATAAAATCTGACATAGTTGTCATCCTTTCCAAATAAAAAGACTTTCCTCCTTTCTTCTTCTTCTTCTTCTTCTTTGAAGCCATGGTTGGTGAACCTTGATAAGCCCAGCTAGCATAGCTATCTGATTTATTAATTAATATCTACAAAAGAAATATTAATTGTTTTTTTTCATACCCAAAACAATTAATTTGACACACACAAAAAAAAGAAGGAAATAAAAAAAATATGCAGCAGCAGCTTCTCTTATGGGCTGGACTAGAGAGCAATTATCACAAGTGGTTGTTGGACTGGACAAAGTGGAGAGTCTTTTTGTGTGCAGCAATGGTCATCTTCTACATGTTCTTAGCATTCCTTCTGCTGTGGAAGTACGAATGGTCGGCGGCAGGCAGCGGCGGCAGCCGGAATGATGGCGGCAGTGGCAGCGGTGGTGATTCAAAAACATGGATGCCATGTGTGAAAGAAGTGAGCCCAATATGTTTGATGGCCTTTAGAATGGTTTCTTTCTCTCTTCTTGCAGCAACACTCACTTGCCATGTTGTGGTCTATGGTGGCACCCTCTTCTACTACTATACTCAGTAAGGCCTCGTCCCGTTCAACTTATTTTTTCTACAAAAAATCAAATTAGATCCAATTCACATGCATCTTTAATTAAACTTTTATTGGGGATGAGTTAGACTTAGGGTTTGTTTTTTTACTTGATCTCGGTGAAATAAATTCTGATCTGATCTGATTGTAGTTGTAATTAAAACTGTTTTTGATCTGACCTAATATGATATGGTCCGCGGATTTGATCTGATTCAAATAAGAATAAGTAATTAATTTAATATGTTCTCTCCGCCCGAGAACATTTGTCAAGTGTCGAACTTTAACCTATAATTAAAAATATTGAGATAGATCTGATGAAATTATTCTTGTATCAATATTTGAGCTCGTTTTTGTTTGTGGGCATGCTTGCTTGCAGGTGGACTTTCACATTGGTTACCATTTACTTTGGGGTATGTATGCAAGACTGCACTCTTTCCTTAATGTGAAAAATAAAAATGATACTCTGTCTGTTTCATAAAACTTTTCTTTTTTTGAAAAAATACGCACCCTTAAGATGGGTAATTTTGGTTTTATTTTCTAGTTTTGCACTTACTTTATAATAGAGTAGGATGAAATGTGTTGGATAGATGAGTTATAATTAGAAAATAACACAAAAATTACTTATTCTAAAAACGAGTCTTTTTCAAACACGAAGAGTTTTCTGGGAGGAGGGGGTACATTTTTTTTTGTTTATTGCGATGTGTATTTTTCTTTGTTGTAGTTCATATTTGGCGAAAAAGTTCAACTTATTTTCTAAAATGTCACCTTGTATTCCTAAATTTCCCCTGTTTTAATACTCTCTCTATCTTAAAATATTTCAATTTTCACTTCTTATTCGTCTCATAATACATTTCAATTTCGTCTAAATGAATACAATTGCCCTTACTTTTCTTAAATCTAACCAAACGTAGCTCAACTACCTTTTATGCTCTACCCATTTTTACATTACCGAGTCCAACTTGTTTCAATTGTCCTCATTTTAATTACCTTAGTCAAACTTCTATATCTTCTTATCTCAAAAGTCAAACCCGAAAAAGTTTTCCGGTACAGAGATAGTACTACTTAAAACTTAAATTTAATGCACTACCATAAACATAAGGATAAAGCTATTTTTACCCCACATTTTTGTACCCCGCAGTTTTGCACCAACACTTTGTGTTGGTGTAAAACTGATTTTTGTTAATGCACCAACAATTGGCGTCTCTGTAAACTTTTGTTAACGCACCAACACTTGTGTCGGTGTAAACCATCAAAATGTTTGTGTATAACTACGGTGTACAAATGGGGTACAATTTGTGGTGTAAATGTAGCATGACCCTGAACATAAATATGCATCTCACGATAGACCAAAAATAAACTATATTCTCGCTTTCGTGATAAAATTAAAAATTTCACGTGAACTATGTATAAAATGCAGTTTGGTTCAGTGCTTTCAATACAAGGATGTTGGCAGCGCAAGAAATCAATGGAAAGGGTTAGTGATGATGATAGATGGACGGATGAGATTCAAGGGTTGGAAGATACACTTCTTGCAGGCACAGGGCATTGCCGTGGAGTCAAAGCACTTGATTACCACACCACACTCGAATTCTACCAACAAGAAAGATCTGTTGGATTTTTTGCCTATGTTTTTCAACTCCTTTTCCAGGTATATATATATCGGGTCCGGTTCCGTGGCCACTGGCTTACAGAGCTGCTAGCAGTGCCGTTGTCTTCTTGAAGTGTTTACTTCTTTTGAACCCTCCACCCCAACCCCACCCCTGTCCCCTACACCCCACTCTAGCCCCCAAATCGTCACCTTCCAAATTTCAGCCATAAGACAATTCCCTAATGACCACACAATATTTGGTATGGCGAATGAAAATGGAAAGTAGAAAGAGATTTTGGGAGGCGGCACTGCTACTCCCTCTGTTCTAAAAAAAGAATTCCTAATTTGACCAAGTGTAAAAATAAAGAAGTGTTAAATAGTACTCCCTCCGTTTGGAAAAACAATTCCCATTTAGATTTGGGGCAAAAATAAGGAAGTGTTAAATTATACTCCGTAATTGATTTCCAATTTTGTCCCTGATGTGATGGGTAAAAGTAAGATGTGATGGATAGATTATTAGAGAAAAAGTATGATGTGATAGGTAGGGTATGAAAAAGTAAGGGTAAAAGTGGTTTTTTAATAGAAAGGGGAAGTGTTTTGTTGGAAGTGGAAAAAATGAAAGAGGAAGTGTTTTTGAGAACAGAGGGAGTAGTTGACTTCCAATTTTGCCCTAGATGTGATGAGTTAAAGTAAGATGTGATGGATAGATTATTAGAAAAAAAAGTATGATTTGAAAGGTAAGATATGAAAAGTAAGGGTAAAAGTGTGTTTTTAATAGAAAATGGAAGTGCTTTGTTAGAAGTGAAAAAATAAAAGAATGAGGGACTGTTTGGCAACTTCTGAATGGGTAAGTGCTGAACCAGTAAGAGGTCTGAACCATTAAGAGCTAGTATATTGCTTAACTATTCAGAGGCAAATGTCTGATCAATTCAGATAAGAGGTCTTAACCATTCAGACTCTGTATAATACTTAACCATTCAGAGGCAAATCTCTTAACCATTCAGACATCTGAACCATTAAAAGGCTGAAACAAACAGTCTGAACCATTAAGTGCTGATTCAGACATCTGAACCATTAAGAAGCTGAAACAAACAGCCTCCTGAGTGTTTTTGAGAACGGAGAGAGTACAATTCTTATGGTTCTTATGGTTGGGTAGAAGCCAATTGCATTGAGTTCATTTTGAATTGTATCTTTTAAGTACTCCCTCCCAAAATCTCTTTCTACTTTTGTCTTTTATAAAATTTAAAGGGATATTTTTTTATTAAATTAGGACTCTCTCCGTCCTAATTTAAATCATCTGTTTCAGTTTATGATATTTGGCTGAAGTTAATTTCAATATAATTTATTACTTCCTTCATCCCATTGAACTTTTCTCCTTTTTTTCATCCGTTGTTCCAAAAAATCTTTCTCATTTCTGTTAAAAAGTCACTTTTACTCTTACTCATTCTTAACCTGGATATCACACCATTATATTTTTTCACTATTAGTATATATTCATCACATCCCAATTTACCCATAATATTCAAGGATATTTTTGGAAAGACAACACTAAAATACACACCCTTAAATCCTTTAAAAGTCAAGACCAGAAAGGTTTTGTGAGACAATGGGAGTAGATAATTGGAACAACATTAAAAAATAAACTAGACATTTTAAAAAAGTACATCAAAAAACTCTATAAAATAAGAGGTGATTGGATTACATTTTTATTTATCAAATGAATAATATAAATATGTAAAGAAAGTGAATAAAATATGACTATATGAATATTAAACAAACAAATTTAAATTAGAACGAACAAAATATTTATTAGCATGTGATCTATAATTTGTGTGCAGATGGCTGGTGGAGCAGTGGTTCTTACAGATTTTGTTTATTGGTTCATAATCTTTCCCAAACTCGATGATTATTATGACTTCACTTTCGTAAGTATTCCCAACATGTTTTTTGTTAATCATTTACTCATCAAAATAATGCTCACTAATTTCTTATTTTGTAGAAACTTTGTATAATTATTTAAATAATTAAAAATAAACTCTATCGAACTTTAGCAGCAGGCCAGTGTCGGCTCGGAAATATGAAAAAAGTGAATTTGGCAATGTGCAAAATTCACGTTTTGGGCCGTATTTTATTTTTTAGAGTACTTATAATTTAAAATTATTAAATTAGAACTAAATTTAAAAATATGAGGCCCTAAAAATTTTAGTAACCATGCACGGTGATCACTTTACACACCCTTCGGGCCATCCATGTTAGAATTGCTTTACATTTAGAAGTGCATGCCTCTATAATGCATATGGTATAAATTTTACAGATAATTGGAGTTCATAATGCCTTAGGCTCATTACAGATAATTGGAGTTCATAATGCCTCTATATAATGCATATGGTATAAATTTTATTTGGATATAAAAATATAATACAGTATGTCATATGTTAACATTTGAAATTGTTTTAGTCCTAGTTGGGTACTAGCTACAGGAAATTTCTCATATACATAAACTTTGTTTGGAAAATATTTTGAGGGGAATTTACCTAAACAGGACTAAAATATAATGACTTTCTCAATATAGGAACATATGTTTTTATTTTCCAATATAGGATCATTGGTAATTATCCATTAGTCATTATTCAAGTAAATATATTCCATTACTGGACATTATTAATTATTATTTAGGGAAAATATTTAGGGAAAATATTATTCAAGTAAATATTTCCCACTAGACATTATTAATTATTATTTAAGGAATACAAAAGCTTAATTTTTATATTGAGAAATGACTTATATTTTAATCCCACTTAGTGCAAATTTTTCACAGATTATCTTTAAAAATATAAAGCTAAACGTTATTAATTGATTATTTTTTCTTAAAATGTCAAAGAATTGGATCATTTGTTTAAACATTCATGCAGATGACGTTGGTTGCACATTCACTTAATTTGCTGCTTCTTGTCGATGCATCTCTGAATTGCTTGGTACGTAATACCACTTTATGGCATCAATTAATTCTCCTTTAAATTAAACATGCTTGACTATTTATGTTAGAAGAGAAATTAGATCAAAACACTATAAAATATGAACGATTGAATATTACAATGTGCAATAGATTAATTATCCTCCGATCCATACCAAATATTTGTATTGCAATTATAAATATTTTTATGAGAAATTTATCTAAATAGGACTAAAAAATAATGAATTTCCCAATATAGGATCATATGTTTTTATTTCTCAATGTATGATCTTTGGTCATTATCAAGTAGTCATTATTTAACTAAATGTCCATCATTACTGAACATTATTCCTCCCACTAGGTCATTATTAAGTCCTATTAAGGAAATAACAAAGTTTAAGTCCTACATTAGGAAAGTCATTATGTTTTTGTCCTATTTAGTGCAAATTTCACAATTTTTATTAGAGCTGCATGTAAGGTCTGTTTTCATTGTACACACACCCTCTCATATATACTCTTTTTTTATGGAATTTTATTGGGTTTGTTGTGATTGTTACGACTACTCGATAACTTTTATTATTTGTTTATATGTTCTCTTTGATCATTTGTTTGTATTTTTATCATCTTATTTTGTAAAATTTTTGAGGTACTTTTCAAATAAATAATTTTTAATTTTTTTTTAAATACCAATTTGTACCCTAATACCAATCGCTTTCTATTACAACCATAGTCTACAGATGCGGTCTTTCATCGGAATTCTAGCTCACAATCATAGTCATTATTTTTGTATTATATATCTAACCAGGCCAATATCAGAATACGTCACTGAACATAAGTTAGATATCAAATTACATTTTTAGCATTTAAAGTAACACCAACATGATAGAAGATAAAAAATGACCATTTGTGGAAATGCACCCTTAAAAGTATTACGGAAGTAATATCAGATAATAGAAGACTAAATATAGAAATCTCAGGCTATAAAAGACTAATTATGCAATTACCCTAAAAAAAGATTACTTGTGGATTTATCTTATTTTTTTAATAATGGATTTTTAACTTCATTCACAGCAGGAGTTGCCATGGTTTGGGATTGCATATTTTATTTTCTGGACAGGGGCTTATGTCTTATCCCAATGGATTGTTCATGCTTGTGAATCTATCTGGTATCCTCACCTCTTATATTTCTTTCATTTTTTTTTGCCAGTTGCTAAATTATACTGTTTTTAATTTTTTTTCTTTGAAAAAACATGATTATAGTCAACTTATTAATTATATATGTATATATGTTTGGTTTTTCTTGTGATTAGATAATAATGTACATGCATTTAGAAAGTCTTTGATAATAATTAATGTTACAGGTGGCCATACCCTTTTCTGGACTTATCATCAACAAATGCTCCCCTCTGGTATATATGCATGATTTTCAACTTTATTTTTATGATCTCCAATAATAAAATAATCTACAAAATGTACTCCCTCCGGTCTTAAAAATCTTTCATGTTTTGATTTTTTTGTCAAACAAATTTCTTGAATATAAATTATGAGAAAAGTATATTTAATCATAAAATGAATTTAATATAATTAGGTTTATCTTAGGATAAAGTTTTGTTTTATCAAATATTTGTACTCCTATTATTTATTTATTTAGATTATGTTTCATTTTAGATAAAAAAAGTTATCATTTAACTAAAAAGTCAATACAAGAAATATTTTTACGACGAAGGGAGGGAGTATATCCTAATGAGACATGCAAGAAAGATTCATCTTTAATTTCAATTTTCATTTAAGCTCTTTCTCCATTATACTAATTTTTTAAAATATATACTTCCTCCGTCTTAAAGTTAACTTCTCATTTAACTTTTCACGGTCTCAATGCGACACTTTGATCATTAATATCTTCATTTTTATATGAATATATATTACGGAGTATAAAAAATAATATACTCCGTATTTCAAAACTCTGTTTCTAAATGAATTTATTGGTAATAAATTTATATGAAAATTCAATATATTTTTTCCATAATATACAATCAATGTTTAAAAAATTTAACTACAAAAATCAAACTGGGAAATTAATTTTAAGAGGGTTGAGTATTATGATTTGTGAAAGTTAAAATTTGTGTCCAACAAATTAGACATGAGGAAGTAGTTGATTTCATTTGTGTCTGAGTTGGTTGGCAATTTATAATATGTATGTATATAAATAATTACAATAATAATGCAGGTATTTGGTGGTGGCATTAATGCATATTCCCTGCTATGGTAGTGTTGTATTACTCGTTGAGCTCAAAAAATTGGCACTCTCCAAATGTCAACTTACATATCATCTTGTATCTAGTGATGATGAGATCATTACCTCATGTTAATCATCATCATCATCATCATCATCAATTTTATAAGATATTCCTTCCGTCCCAAATTATTTGCCACATTTGTATTCCTGAGGCAAAATATCAAGTTTTTTTAATTAATTTTATTTATATATTGGTATAGAAATAAAAAATAAAATTTACATATAAAAAAACTACATGAAAAGTTCTTCGAAATAAGAGGTGTCAAGAATATTTTATTTTATCAAATAACCAATAAAAACGTCGAAATAAATAAAAGTTCCCGCGATTGTTGAAAAAGCAAATGTTGTGAATATTTAGGGACGGAGGGAGTATCATTCTTTACAAGTATGTTACTTCTCGATCACTATAGTTAAATTCTTTTTTTACTCCGTACTTTACTGAAGTATTCACTATTCAGAGGTGGTTAGCGTTGGACATATTTGAAATCAGATCTGGACTTTGATAATTTGCATACACGCAGAAGCAGACAACATCTATTGAAAAGAATGTTATAAATATAAAAGGCATAAATTAAAGAATTGGGATATGTTAGGGGTACACCAAATGTATACCCCAAATGTACACTACTCCCCTTTCTACCATTCATTTTATTTTGTTTATATTTTTTAATTTTTTCTTTGAATTTTTCTTGCTTTTTTTTTGTGGTGATGGAGGGGGTGAGGATGTTTGGAGTACACTTTTGGTGTACCCCTAGCATTTTCCTAAATAATTTCACACTCCGGAGGAACTCTCCTTCTCGTTGACGCTCACGTCTGTGTAACAGTCCTCTACTAATTAAATCACTAGATGTAGATTATGCCGGTACATAACAAGATGATAAGACACACTTCTCTGAATTGTTATGACAAACTCGATCTCCAACTAAGTTTTTTAACCCGTATCGTGTACACTTTGCTTCGTCTATCACATTCACCAAGATCACAAGGACAAACGTGTCGGCATCCATCTTGTTGTGCTCAGCTTCTATTTAGCAAAATGATTAGTTAACACCTTGGAACTAACATTTACAATACCTAATTACATTTAACTATTTCATGTATTAAAAACGTATATAATAAAATGGACCTAAGAACCATGTAAACCATGTACTCCATCCCCGAAGGTCCCCTTTGACCCAAATGACAGTCACTGAAAGAAGATAAGTCAAACTTTGATCGCATATTGATTGCAAGAAGTAGAGTTTGCACTCGGTAATTACAGATGTCTTATGTTAAGCATAATTATGTCTCTGCTGATGATGACGAGCATTATTCAGCTCGAAGTTTCTGGGTCACCCGCTGCTCCGCCCACCACCGAGACTCAAATTTTATAGATATTTTAATATAATTATAAACATACTCAGAAATTTTTAACTTTATATACTCCGTAGATTAGATTAAAAATAAATTAATAATATTTATTTTGAGTGTCTAAATTGAAGTGTGAGGGAGGGAGTATATTTTTTCAAGTTTGAGGGAATGGAGTGATGAATGACAATAATCAATGGCTTCTTCTTTGTTGCAATGCTGCAAAGCTTCAGCTGCTGCAGCAGTTTCATCATCTCTCCCACTCTCCCGTCTCCATTTCCCCCACAAACACTCATTTTCGCCGGAATTTCTCAAGATCCGCCGACCCTCCGCCTCTCCCCCGCCCTCACCTCTCGTTTCCCCTTCTCCGCCGTCTCCTTTGCAGCTCCCTACCTTTTCCTCCAAAGAGGTAATTAATTCGAGCACCCTACTGTAATTTTTTCGATTCCAAAGCAATCCTTCCCCAAATCAAGCTCTACCAAAACCCTAATCCAAGTGACAAAAGAATCTAGAAGATATATTACCATTCCTTTTTTAATTAAATAAATAAATTACAAATCTCGTCTGCACATAATTTGATTGTTTGTCAGTAGTTGCTGGAGCATTTGCTGAAGAAGGAGGACTTGAGCGAAGAAGAAGCGGAAGCTTCGCTGGAGTTGTTGCTCGCTGATGGCAGCGAAGCTCTCATTAGCGCTTTCCTTGTTCTGCTGCGAGCCAAAGGAGAAACCTTTGAAGAGGTCTTTAAATTTTCACAATCCCTTCTTTTCTTTCACTTTATGATGCTCTGCGAGTAGCTCGCTGGGTTGGACCATAAGACACTTGGATTTGTGTTGGAATGTAGATTGTAGGACTAGCTAGAGCCATGGTCAAGCGTGGCTTGGTAGTTGAAGGCTTGGGCAATGGTGCGGTGGACATTGTGGGGACGGGCGGTGACGGGGCGAACACGGTGAATATTTCCACCGGAGCCGCCATTCTCGCCGCCGCTTGTGGTGCTAAAGTTGCCAAGGTAGGTAGGTAGTGATCCAGCAAATTAAAAGGCTCCTTCAAATTTAGTTTCCCTGGTAATGTTGCCTCTTTTGATTTCTTGCAGCAAGGAAACCGGTTGAGCTCTTCTTCTTGTGGTAGCGCTGATGTTTTGGAAGCCTTGGGCGTGAACATCGAATTAGAACCCGAGGTGAGCTATGTCTTCTTGTTTTGACTGTTGGCTTTTGGTATGCTAATTGTTCGAATGTCAGCTTTCAGTAGTATGTCACCATTTGAAATGTCGTCGTGTTTCTATAGAAACTTTTTCATTAACTTGTCTTGCCAAAATGTAGCTAGCGAGGCTTGAGCTTTATTTGTTGTGAGAATTGTTGGATTTCTCAAAATCTCATTGGTTTGGTAAATAAATGTAGGGAGTGAAGAAATGTATGGATGAAGCAGGAATATGTTTCATGATGTCTCCGTACTACCATCCGGCAATGAAGATTGTAGCACCTGTTAGAAGGAAGCTTAAAATAAAGACAATCTTCAACTTCCTAGGCGCCATGTTAAATCCAGCAAGGGTGCCTTTTGCCCTTGTTGGCGTCTACGATCAAACCGTTGTAAGTTTCGTTCTTTGCTAAGACATCACGACATGCACGAATGGCTTCACTAAAATGAGCCCTTTTGAAAGATGTTCAATAACAGATTCATGAAAATTTGGCCTAAAATGGACAATGTCATATTCGCTGCGTCCTGAAAAGAGAGTCACAGTTTGACCTTTTTACCCTTTTGTCCATCGTTTTACTTCTTTAACCTTTAGTGTGTTCTTGAGCCAAGAGTCTTGTAGAAATTGTAAAAAATGATTTGATAAATGTTCCCAAATTGCATAGGTCAGCAAGATGGCCAAAGCCTTGCAAAGGTATGGGATGAAGAGAGCATTAGTAGTTCACTCAGAGGGCTTAGATGAATTGAGTCCTCTAGGTAAGTTAGGGTATGTTTGGTTTAACTAAATCATTCTTTATTGCCTTTATCATCAGAATAATTAGTAGCTTGATTTCACTCATGTTTGGCTTAAATATATCTCTAACGGTTTCCTTAGCGAAATTCATTCATTTGTGTCAAATAACCATTACCAAACAAGACCCAATTTTTTTATGGATTTTTGAGGACTTGGACCGGATCGATTTGGTGTTTGATTCCCAGTTTGATCAAATCCGGTTTTGATTAATAACAGTGATGACGACTTATTTTTCTTTATCTACCTTTTGCAAAATTTACCATTTCAACAACAAACAGGGCCCGGGGTAATACTTGATATCACACCAAAGAAGATTGAGGAAATTCATTATGATCCATGTAAGTACATTTTCTGCTCAAAATATGCTAAAACAAATAAGCTAAGATTGTGTAAATTACTTGTAACTCATTAATATTCTCTCCGTACTATTTTAAGTGACATTTATGACTTTTTTTAATATGTTAAACAAATGAATAAATCTTGACATGATATATATATCAATATTCAGTAAAATTTGGGATTCGTCGTTGCAATTTGAAGGATCTGCAAGGAGGGGGTCCGGAGTATAATGCTGATATATTAAGGCGTGTGCTCTCGGGCGAGAGAGGGCCCGTCGCAGATGCATTTGTAAGTTTCATTATTGACCAGTTTGGGAACAACCATGAAGTGCGACTGTCTCTACCATGGAATAATCCTTCCACATACTAGAGACAGTCGCCCTTCGTTTATATGGCTCCATGATTATGGAGAGTGTGTGTGTGTGTTTATGCAGATTTTGAATGCGGGCGGTGCACTAATGGCAAGCGGACATGTGGCAACATTGGGAGAGGGAGTAGACGTAGCTCGGTCCACGCATGCATCCGGGAACGCCCTCTCCACGCTTTCCACTTGGATCAATGTCTCAAATCGTCCAACGTAAGTACACGGGTGTATAAAAGTTATAGTTTTGTCATTAAATTTTATGTAGAGAAATTAAAACCAATGTGATGGATTTTAGCCACCAACTCTGGATGCACGAAGAACTATGATAAAGATAAGATCAAAACTCTCGAAATATGATCTTTATTAGCTTAATTCAGCTTGGGTTTACAGAGGAGATTTTACACCCTATTTATAGTTTACACACTACGGTGTTTGTGGTAATCGATCATTGTTCTGTTTTCTGGCCACGATTGATCTGATCGGCGCCAATTGTGGGCGGAGAATCGATCATCAATCACCCACAATCCGTGGGATTGATCTTCTCTTGCCAGCTAGTTCGGGGCCCAAGCCCAATCTCTCAAATGATCCCGTTCGGCCCACTCTACACAAATGTCGGACAGATTAACATTATAGCTTACTGGGCCGGTTCTATATCTTGTTGGGCCATATATCCATCACAATGTGTACCATAGAACAAATAAAGGCGTATATTTTCATTTTTCCCGTTTCATTCTTATTGTATTAATTCAAATATGATCTAAAATTCATTTGCCCTTCGTTCTAATTGTTCTATATATTGATTCCTGCGGTGAGCAAAGAAATATTTGCACTAAATAGCACTTAAATTTTTGTCATTTCCTTAATAGCACTTAAACGCTTTTATTCTCTAAATAACACTCCATAATGTCCAGTGATGACAAATATTTACTTGAATAATGACTAATGGATAATGACTAAAAGTGCTACATTAGAAAAAAAATACTACATATGATGCCATTTAAGGAAAGTCATGTTTTAATGCTATTTAAATAAATTTCTTGAGAGCAAATTTGGAGTAGTTTTGATATAAATTTAATACTCCTTCCGCCCCCCTAAGATGTTCTCATTTTTACTTTTGGTGGTTTTTAAGGAGAGTTGAAGAAAGGTGAAAGTTTACCATAATACCCTTAATGAAAAATGGGTGGAGTGTATTAAATGAGGTGGGTGAGGTGTAATAAAGTAAGTGGGGGTAGTTGTGGTATTTTAATTGTTAAAAAAATGAAATGAGAAGATCTATTGTGGACAAAGAAAAAGAGCTATTGAGAAGATCTATGGGGACGGAGGGAGTATAATTGTGTTCATCTTAAGATATAGTTTTGATAAATTAAATTTTTATAACATTTATTTATTTAGATTATATTTAATTTTTTGTCAAAGAATGTCACAATTTAACTAAAAAAAATCAAAATATGATGAATTTTTAGGACCACAATAAGTAAGGACTTTTTGGGGTGATGACTTATGATGAAGAGATTTGCAGTTTACACGTCACTTTATTTCTTCTTTCTATGGTCCCCTCCCTCATCCAGACCGGATCATCAATGGGAAATGAGCCCACCACAAAAAAGTTCCTATTTGTTATTTATGGAGTTAGATTTTAAATCCTTTTTTATTTTTTTTTTGACAATTTTCAGTTTTTACTACTCCGTAATAATTAATAATTGATAAAAAGATATAATACTTTCACACTATTTTGTAGAACTTTTAAGATGATTTTTAAAAATATAAAGTTATCCTTAATTTGAAATCAACTTTTTAATAAACTGACATAAAAATACTTTCAGTCAAATTTTATAAACCACAACATGAACTTTACTTTAGGGCAATGAAAGCATCGAGACATTAAAATGTTTTAGTCAAATATCATAAACTTCAATATATCACTCTTTTAATTGCATTTATGTTTGTATTACTAAAACTTGTGTGAAGAATGTCAGTGCGTAATGTTGAAGGCATTGTACAAACAATTTTTGTTGATATAAAAAAATATTTTTAAATAAGAAAAAAGGGGAATATTCAAAAAAACAAAATGGGAAAGAGAAATATATATGACATTTAAAAATAGTCACAACAACAATAACAACAACAATAACAATAATAATAATAATAATAACAACAACAACAATAATAATAATGGTACCTATTATAAACCACACGCATAAATGAGAATATTTAATTATGCATAAAAATTACATCGTACAACTTAACACACAAACGAGGATTGTCCATTGTTCTGAGATCGTGCGTAATGGGGCGTTCAATCCCCCATTAATGCTCTTTTACGGTGTACACCACACCCTTCCCCTAGATTTTTTTGTTGGAACGTGTAACAAATCACTGGTGTGCTTAGTGAACAAATAAGATATGAATTTTGATATTTTCAGATACTAAATCATTTTTTAGTATTTGATGAAGTCAAAAGAGATATCAAATTCGATATCTCGAGATATAATAAATTTTCCAAATAAAGGGTTTCGATATCTTCCGAATTTAAGAAATATTAATATGAGAATTTGATCGATATTTCTCTCAATCGTTGATCATTTTTCACCACCGGCTACTAGTGTCACCACAATCACCCCGTTGTCGGTCACCTCCACTTATTATTAATTAAATCATAATATAAATCTCTCCAAATAAATTCGTTTCAGATTTTAAAATGCATGTCATTTCTCCCAGATTTCATAACCCATATTTTATCATATCTCCAAAACTCACCAAACGGACCCTCAGGTAGAATTGGACCGGGGGAGGATATCACAATTGCCAACGTCACATTACATTAAATGTTTTAAAAAATAATGTTTTACATATATTCTTTTATCTATTTTAATTTTGTTTTTAATACCCGAGTAGTTATGTACTTTTACAATTTTTTATAAAAAAATTAGTTCAATTTTAACTTTTTTTAGTAAAAAAATTAGTTACTACCTTCTTCTCAGAGTATTTTTTCAGTTTTAACTTTTTTTTAGTCAATCATTTTTAATCTTTGATTTATAATTAAATAAAATATATATTATACTTTAATTAAATAAAATAATATTTTGAAAACATTTTAAATTATAAATCTAATAAAACTATTTTATATCAAAATCTAATATCATTTTTATGTAATTTAGGTCAAAAATTACAAATTTTATTTTAAAAAAGTAAAAAACAGACAAATATTGGAACACCAATACATGTCAAGCCGGATTGCCGGCTAATTCATTTTCATTTCGCCTCCCCTTTTCGAATACACTTATTGTCTCCTGGCCGGTTCCTAATTTTTGAATCTTTTTTTAATTCTTTTTGGTATTATAATAATAACAACTATACATAAATCCAGGAAGAACAAAGAGATCCCTTTCATTCTTCCTTCAATCCCGAAATCTGTTTTCTTTTTCCCCTTAAATTAAAATTAGTTCCAGATTTCATGCGTTACTGTTTCTCCAGCTCCAAAATCCCATCCCTGAAATGGGCAATTACGGCGGCGGCAGTCATACTGTTGACGAGAACGGCGCCGTTCTGCTGCGCCGGCGATCCTCGAATCGAAGAAGCTTCCCCGGTTTTGTGCGGCCGGAACATGACCTCCACCTTCGTAATCGCTCCCTTGTTCACCGCCGCCATGGAATCCCTCTCGCAGTCAGTCACCGCTCGCGGCTGGGGATATTCCGGCGTGGTCAATTCCACTCTCAACGCCTCAATCTACGCCCTGGCGCAGTGCTACGGCGATCTCCCTCGCCGCGATTGTCTCCTCTGCTTCGCCTCCAGCCGGACGAAGCTCCCCCGCTGCCTGCCGCGCGTCTCCGGCCGGATTTTCCTCGACGGCTGTTTCATCCGCTACGACGATTTCGATTTCTTCAACCAGAGCACCGATCCGGATCTGGACAGAGCGAATTGCAGCAGTAGCGCGCGGGGGGATGCGAAATTCGAGGCGAAAGCGGGGAGGTTAATTGCCCGCGTGGCCGGGACGGCGGCGGCGCGTGGGGGATACGCGAGTGCGAAGGAGGACGGGGTGTACGGATTGGCGCAGTGCTGGAAGAAGGTGAGCGGGGAAGGGTGTAGGGTTTGCTTGGAGAAGGCGAGGAGGGAGGCGAAGAGGTGTTTTCCGAGCAGGGAAGGGAGGGCGTTGAACGCCGGCTGTTATTTGAGGTATTCCGCCGTGAATTTCATCGGCAATCCGAATGAGGACGACGGCGGTGGCTCCGGTGAGTTTTTCTTTTCATTCCCACTCCGTCTAGCTAACTCTTTACTACACTACCTTAAATTTCAACAGTAAAATACAGTCTTTTTTTATTTTTAAAAAATATACTCCGTAGTTCAAAATACTCAATCCGTCCCTAAAAATATTGCCGCACTTGTATTCTCGAGATAAAATATCAAGTTTTTTCAAATTATATTATTTACATATTTGTATAGAAATAAAAAATAAAATTTACATATCAAAAAATTACATGAAAAGTTCTTCAAAATAAGAGGTGTCAAGAATATTTTATTTTATCAAATAACCAATGAAAATGTAGAAATAAACAAAAGTTTCCGCGACTGCTGAAAAAGTAAATATTGTAAACATTTTGGGACGGAGGGAATAGTTTTTATATCCAAATATGAAGTACGGAGTATTTTATCCAATAATATGGTACTCAATAAAAAATTTACATTCGAGAAAGAGGAATTCTTCGAAAATTATACGGTTTATCGCTAAGCATTAAAAGGTGCACCAAATGCTCTTAAATTCTTCAAAAATTGCATAATTTACTCCTGAACATTCAAAAGTACACCAAATGTCCTGATTCCTTAAACTCTTCGAAAATTATACGTGATGGTGTAAATTTAACCGGGTATGACCAGGTCAAAATGGATACTATCAAGTAAGCCAAACACACCAGAAAGTAAGAACACAAAGATGACCTAGACCAAGAAAGAATTCATGTGCCTCAAACTATATTTCTTACAATGTCTCAAGAGTGTATAAATGTGTGTATGAATGAATGAATGTCTCTCCTCCACCTCTTACAATCTATTTATATAGGGTAGAGGAGGTCGATTAAGGTAACAAGCCCTTCTTGAGGCGTAAACCTAACTTCATTGGTATCAACATAAGGAAATAGGCCTTTGACCCGCTGCTCGCTGGCCTAATTGTTAATGGGCGCCAATCTCGCCCTCATTTATGTTGTCCAATAGCTTAGCGTGATTCTCACTCCGTCATTAAGTCCTGAAGATGACAGGGTAGGATAGCGTGATGGCTTTATGCACGTCATCGCCTAGCGCTGTGTTCATCGATCAATCCCCTGAAATCTGGCTGTGTTAAACCGAGGGGTTAATCCCTCGGGCCGCCTTCCGTAACGGTCATGCAAGAAAATGACCATGCCGCAGATATGACTAGTCACTTCCTAGGAAGACGTGACTGGTCATTTTTTCAAACATTCTGCGCTACCTTGAACACAAATTAATTTGTTGACCGGTCATAATTGACCTGTCACTTTCCGACGTGTTTGGGCCGGGTATTAGTTATTAGACCGGGCCAATCCGGGGAATTATTCTTCACATTGTCTCCTGTAACGACCATGCACCAAAATGACGGTCACATTTTGGGAAGACGTGACTGTTCACTTCTCCCGGCGATTCCCACATCACTCCAAGCACTACTAAAATATTGACCGGTCATATTCCGATCCGTCACTTTTCGAATATTCGGGCCAGGTATAAGTTATACCCATCAGTATGGTTTTACCCCTTAAATAAAGAGGATGATTTATGGGAAGAGTACTTTAGAGAACTCAGAAAGGCGAGATGAAAAATACTCGCAATTCATGTGCGTGGAAGAAACGCACTCCCTATCTAACATTTTAGAACTAATGGTGCAACGATTTAAATTGTTCGAAGATAAACAATACACTTTTTAATGTTTAAGGGTAAATTATGCAATTTCTAAAAAGTTCGGGGGTAAACGGTGCACTTTTCTCTTTTATTTATTCATTGTGGTGTATTCCATCCCAAAATATGACTCTAGAATTGTTAAATACCCCATACTTTTTTGTCTTTTAATTACTCCATCCGTCCCAAAAAGATTTACACGTTTCAAAAAAATTGCGTCCCACAATCTCTTACCCATTTCTATTAAAAAAACACTTTTACCCCTTACTTTTTCAAACCCTACCTATCACATCATACTTTTTTCTTAATAATCTACACATCACATCATACTTTTACCCATCACATCAAGGGTATTTTTGGAAAGTTAACACAAAATTATGTCTCCTTTAATTTCTACTTTAGTCAAAACGTACCCATCTTTATGGGACGGAGGAAGTATTTTAGTCCATCCGAAAAAAAGAATAGTGAACCATATTTGGGAGTTGGGACCCTGTCACATTAATACAAATTAATCATTATCTACCTTAAATTTCTACGGAATATTATCGGGTTCGAAATTAGTTGTGACACCTTGTAATAATTTTATCCACAAAAGTGACAAAACTTTACCATTTTTCTTTCCTGCAAAAAAAAGGAACTATGTTAGTTTTATTTTAAGAAAAAAAAGGGGTATTTGTAAGGCCAAAAAGTTAAAGTAAAAGAGATTTATAAGTCGCAAAGTTTTCCTTTTCTGAATTCCTCTCTCCAATATCAAAATAGTCATGTTTCTTTTTTTTTCTTTTTCTGTCTTCAAATGACCAAATCTCGTAAAATAAAATTACCTATTGGCTCCGTTGTAGAATTCAAACAATGAAATCAGAATTAGGGACAATAATTCCAAATCTGTTGTATGCTAGCACAATAATATGTGGTTTTGAAATTCCATCCAAATCAATTCATAGAATTTCAATTTCGAATTCAGTTCCAATTCTGTGTTCCAAACGACCCTATTTGGCAAATGTATAATATTTTGACCACAAATTAAATATATTTAAACATTATAAAAATTAAATATATCAAAATTATATTTTAGAATGAATCTAATTTTACTAATTTTACGTTATATATATGTATGTGTCTATATATATATATATATATATATTCGTAATTTGTAGTCAAAGTGTAATACAGATTCATTACAAAAATCAAAGTGATACAATTTTTAAAAGGGAGGATTACTCCATATAATGATTGATTACACATTCCATTTGTCAAATCTTGCCACCGCGTTTGGTTGATTTATTTTCCCCATGGGAATAATAACTAGCCATTAGAACGTGGTTTGACTTTTTGGTTTCAAAAGGGGGCGTTGTCAATATAAACGTTGAAATGTTTGGTTGCTTTCAGTGGTATCCAAACAGGGAGTAAAGGCCGCAATTGGTTCGAGTGTAACGGCGTTTATTATGGTCGTCGCATTTGCTGGCTACACATGTCGTGTCAAAGCACTCAAGAGAAAACAAGGTATAATCTCCTTTTTTTAAAATTCAAAAATAAATACGGAGTACATGTAACCCCATAATAAAAATATAAATAAAAGAAAACATATACAGCTAACTTGGTGAGGGTTATTTGACTAAAATATTTGGATCCACGGGAAAAGAAAATAGAGAAATATCTTACTAATATTAAATTTATAATGTGAAATACTCCGTATAATGCCAAAAAAACACGGTAGAATGCAAACGCCCCTATTTAGGAGATAAAAATGTAAGAAATCTTATTTTGTTACAAGTTTTATGTTTTAATTTCATTCAAGTGGATTTCTTAAAGGAAAAACATTTGGAAAAATGGCAAATGCTTAAGTCACATTAACTCTCTCCCCCACCTATAAGAAGTTTGTTGTTAGAAGGTTTTTTGGACATCTTTTTGGCCCCAAAAAGTTGGATTTCAAAAAGCTTGTTTCTCAGGTTTTTTACCTTTTTTACCTTTAAGACCTCATACAAACAACTCATTTTACCGAACAAATTTTTCGTGAACAACTATCACGAGCTAACACAAACATCTACTTCAAAGTTCTTCTTTTAGAAGAGTAATGTCATTTCTTTTTGTGGGATTTTGTTGGACTTGTTGATGAAGAATAATGGCCTTTCTTTGATTCTGGTCCAGAACGGAGGAACCTTGGTGCTGTATCGAGCGCATACAACAGCTCAAATCTAAACTTTAAGTATGAAACTCTGGAGAAGGCAACGAACTACTTTGACCCATCTACGAAGCTAGGGCAAGGAGGGGCTGGGTCTGTGTACAAGGGCACTTTGGGCGACGGGAGAATTGTCGCCGTGAAGAGACTGTTTTTCAACACTAGACAGTGGGTGGATGAGTTCTTCAATGAGGTGAACCTTGTAAGTGGGATTGAACACAAGAATCTTGTCAAGCTTTTGGGTTGCAGCATTGAAGGACCTGAAAGCCTTTTGGTCTATGAGTTTGTGCCTAACAAGAGCCTTGCCTATTACCTTTTTGGTACTTCCTCTAACTCCTAAGTTCTCTTTTTATTATATGTGATGGCTGTATTGGGAATACAGTTGACCCAATACACCCGGCCCAGTTCATATATTTAACTGTAATTGAGCCCAAGATGCTAGAGCCCGATCTGCCTCTAAGGAAAGCTCGCGTGATAGGGGTCGGAGTGGCCCAAGCTTAGAAGTGAGGGGTCATATAAGATGATGGAAATAGATTCAAATAGATATAGAAGATGATGGTAATCTATTACCATCATCTTGTGTATCTATATTTCCGGTGGATTTAATATCTATCAATATGATTTGTGCATGGGCCATGGACTAATTGCCCCTTTGGTCCTCGGTTTTTGCAGTTTTAACAATTTTAGCCCCGTGTTAACTCTTGCAAAGTAATCCCTGTGTCAAAATGGTGGGATTTTAGTCCCTCACCTCTAGCAATCTGAATCGTCTGTTGGTAATGAACTTGAGGCAAAGAAAAATTAAAACCTTCACATAACTTTACACCCAAGAATAATTATTGTATAACTGTCAAAGAGAGACCAAGAGGCCTGTTTAGTAGGATACATTTGCCACTTATTAGAAAAATTCTCAATCTGTAAAACGCACTTGTACTCACACACTTTTCATAGCACTAGCTCAATCTTAAGAAAATATATCTTTTAAAGGTTCTGGGAAGAATGAGTTATTCATTCAAACTATCAAAGTGCAATTGGTTATGTTTTGAAAAATGAAAATATTGCAGATGAGAACAGGGTCAAGACTCTAACTTGGAGGGAGAGGTTCAGCATTGTGGTTGGGACAGCAGAAGGTATAGCCTTTCTCCATGAAGGGACTGCAACCAGGATAATCCACAGGGACATCAAGACCAGCAACGTCCTTTTGGACGAAAACTTTTGTCCTAAAATTGCTGATTTTGGTCTTGCGCGCTGTTTTGCAGCTGACAAAACTCATCTGAGCACGGGTATTGCTGGGACACTGTAAGTCACAAAACAAAACAAAACAAAAAAACATAAAAAAAATTAACGGCTTTGCCTCTAAAAGCAGCTCATTTAACATTAATAACGCAGAGGGTATATGGCTCCAGAATACCTCGTCAAAGGACAGCTCACGGAGAAGGCTGATGTCTACAGCTTCGGCGTGCTTCTTCTTGAGATTATTTCTGGTAGGAAGAGCAATGCTTTTGTAGACGATTCCGGCTCCCTGCTGCAAACAGTAAGTCCCATATTTCTTTCTCCAATCATCTGTTGCTAGTTAAAAATGTTGCTCCAAAATGAAGCCTATGAGTTCAACAGAGTTTTATATTTATGCCTGAATGCTATTTTTCGAATTTAGGTATGGGGGCTTTACAAAAGCGATAGGACCACTGAGTTAATTGAACCTTGCCTTAGAGGCCACTTTCATGAAAGTGAGGCGTCAAGAGTGGTTCAGGTTGGGCTCCTTTGTTGTCAAGCCGTAGCTTCTTTAAGACCATCCATGTGTGAAGTTGTGAAGATGCTAACAATGGAAGATTATGAAATCCCCGAAACAACCCAACCCCCGTTCATCAACTCCACCATGTTGGAGGGTGGCTCCATGAGGAGTATAAAGGCTTTGGTTTCCAATGCGCTTAAACTGCACGATGTGTCCACCTCTCTCTCCACCACTGACCAATCATGTAGCATGAAGAGTTCTTCCGAGGAGTTTCAGCGCCGTTAAGGTTTAAAACTGCTACACTCTACAATTTTTTTTCCCCGGAGATTGTTTTACGGACTGGTCATTGAATGGCCTGAAGAGGATAGAAAGAGCAAATGGTTAATGCAGATGAAAGGATGTCTATGTATAAATGCATTTACTGAGAGGAATATAAGCATTATTATTTTGTACAGATTACCACTAAAATAACTAGACAGAGACAAAAGAAATCATACTCTGTATTATAGAAGTTGGCCCTTGTAATCCTATTTCCCAAGATGTTTTGTATTGGTGGAGCTAGCAAGGCTAGGTGTCATAATATGACATCAAGTCATTTGGAGGTCCAACGGTGCTATTGATACTGCAGCATTTATCACACCCTGATCCCGGGCCCAATAGTATACTGTAGGGCTCCGGTGTCATATTATGACACCCAAAACCAATGTAAAAAATTGGACTTTTAAATTAATTATTAACATCAATATGATAACAACCCAGAGGAGTTGATATTGATGTTAAAAAGTACTCCGTATTAAGAATGAATCTGAATCACATAAATATGAACAACTATTAAACTCCGTGTGACAAAAATAGTGGGACACACAAAAGGTGTAAAAAGAAAAAAGGACAAAAACAATGAGAAAGAAGTAGCAAAATAGAAAATGTTATTTTACAACCAGGGTTTGACACGATTGATGACAACATCCTGTCTCACAAGCATGCACAGATAATGATTGTTTATGCGGGTGTGTGTGACTGTTTGCATGTCTATGAGACACGGTGGTATCAACAATGATGTCAAACTTGGTGCGACTATAGCATGGCCTGTAGCAAATTACCTCAGAATTGGGTACCGAAGTGGCAAAATTGTAATTCGTACGTGTTCTTGACACGATCTGCATTTCGGAATCTAGTAGTTCCAAAACCCCGTAAATCTCTACTAACTTGGCGTGAGAGCCATCCATAGAAAAAAATGTGTGTTGTTCATTTCCAACCTCTACACAACTAAAACCCCCACATTTCCTCACTCCATTGTCTTGCATTACTTTTCTTGTAATTAAAACATCTATCCACCTTCCCACTGAAGCATAGACATTTGACAGTAGAACATATCCCCCAGATTCTTGGATGCGTCTCGATATCCTGTCTGCCATATCCCCATCTCCATATGTTCTGCAACCACTTAATAGCGCTGCCCATGTGTTGGCCTCAGGTTCAAAGGGCATTCTTGAAATGAACTTTTCGGCTTCTATAAGACAACCCGAGCGAGAAAGCATATCCACCACACACGTGTAGTGTCTTTCGTTTGGGATTATGCCATATACCTTTTGCATTGAGTTGAAATGATGCAGCCCTTTGTCCACTAGACCACAATGGGAACAAGCAAATAAGACTGCTAAAAGTATGGAGCCATTGGGTGAGAAGGGTGTCGTCTGTCGCATTTGTTCAAACATTTCAAGAGATTCCTCTGCAAATCCGGTTTCTGCAAGTCCCTGAATCATGGCCGTCCATGAAACCACGTTCTTGTTTGGCATGGTTTTGAAAATATCCAGAGAACTTTGGATGTTTCCGGATTTTGCGTACATATCCAGAAGTGCAGTGTCCACGAATATATCATTCTGCAGACCAAGTTTTATGAGTTTACAGTGTAAGTTCTTTCCTTTCTGTAATGAAGCTAAGTTAGCACATGCAGATAACATGGTGGAGAAAGTATATTTGTTGGGTGTTTCTCCTGACAAAATCATTTCATTGAATACTTCAAACACCTTGTCATATTCTTCACCTTCCAAGTAACCGGTCATCAGAGAGTTCCATGCGACATTGTTTCGTTGAGGAATTTGATCAAACAGCTCCCTAACTTCTATCAATTGGCCATTCAAGCTAAACCCAGAAACCATAGAGTTCCAACAGACAATGTTCTTTTCCCGGAGCGAGTCAAAACATAGAAATCCAAACTCAGTATGTCCACATTTGCAGTATAGGTCCACCAGTGAGCTACCGACAAAAGGGCTGTTTTCATATCCAAGTTTTAGAACAAGAGAATGGATGGTTCTTCCAGCTTGCATGGCTTTCAGGCCTCCCAAAGCACTTAGAACTGCTGAACAGCATGAAATATTTGGCTTCAGCCCATATTTGTTGACCATCTGATGGAAGAGATTCGCCGCCTCTTCAACATAACCACTATGGTTGTACCCTGAAACCATTGCACTCCAAGAAACTTCATTCCTTTCCGGCATTTCATCAAATATTCTTCGAGCTTCCTTCAGGTTCCCCTGCTCGACATACATGTCAAGAATTGCTGTCCAAGAAACAACATCTTTTTTCTTCATCTTATCAAATGTCCTTTTAGCTAAATCGTTCTCACCCAACCGCACAAATAACGTGATAAAAGCATTAGAAACCGTCAAGTTGTCCTCAAAACCAACCTTAACAACCAGACCAAGCAGGCACATTCCCAAATCAAAATCACCCAACTCTCCGCACGCTCTAATTACAGATGGGAAAGTAACATTGTTAGGCATCACTCCAGACTGCAGCATCATTGGGAGGAGCTGCAAAGCGTCAATCTTCAGCCCATTCTGAACAAGCCCACTGATTGTTGCAGTCCAAGAAACGACATTTCGAAACGGGTTCCTGCGAAAGTACCACAACGCCTCTTCAACTCTCCCATGCCGAAAGAGGCCCGAAACCAAAGCAGTCCAAGAAACTTCATTTCTCTCGGGCATTTCCTCAAACACCCGGCCGGCTTCATCGGGCCTCCCCCAATTCACATTTGCAGAAATCAAACAATTGGCGACTACCAAATTGAACCCATCGAATCCCTTCAGAATCTCGTTACTTTCATAGGATTTTCCAAGAGTCAAGTACATAACCAGCAGTTTAACCGCAATGTGTCTCTGTGACGAAATTCCTGTCTTGATCAAATGTCCATGGAGGAGAGCTCCATGGGCAGCTAACCTTCCGTTTGAGAATTGATTGAGAAGGGAAAGAGTCTTGCTGATGTAGGTTTTGAAGTTTCTTGAATCGACGGCGAAGAGAGGTTGAAGAACACTTCTCATTGTGACGCCTAAGCCATCTCTCCAATGAGGCGATGACAGGGCAAGGGATTGGCCTTAAGCCCCAAAATCTTGGGCAAAGAAATGTTCAATTCTCTATGCGGTTGGGTTATTTAACTTATTTTGACACAATAGCCAATTTAGGTTGTAAATTGTAGTAGGGCGGTAGGGGTGAGCAAATACGGAACCGATTCCGATATTTCTTGAAAATCGAGATTAGCGAACTAAAAAATATTGAATTCATAAAATTCCGAAAGAACGGTATCATATCAAATCGAATGGTTGGTTCGGTATTTGGGATCGGTACCAGATAACTTCTCATACCGAAAAATCTCGAACCAAACATATATACACAAATATGTTACAAAAATAATAATGTTTTTATATTTCTTCATTAAAAAATAAATTGATTTTAAAAAGCTGATTCAAGTGTAGATGAATTACAAATAATCTTTTATTTAAGTAATCGTTTATTTGAGTTTTATTTTTTTTGTAGATGAATATAAAAAATTAACATGCATTTGAAATACTATTTTGTTATCATTCGTTCTGTTTTGTTTGTGAAATACGAAGTATAAATTAGACTAAGAGGGGTGTATTCAACGTGGATTCTGTAGTATTTTTTTGGATTTCAAAAGTCTGTGGGTATTCAATCCCGATTTTAAAAAATCATTTAAAATCTGGAAGTATTCAATTCAGATTTTAATATATCCTTCTAAATATAATGGTATTCAAAAATTAATTGATTTTAAAATATTTCTATAATATATGGATTTTGATGGATTTGAGGCTTTAGGTATAAATTAAAATCTAAGTCCAAAATCTCACAAAAAATGCAAAGATTTTGCAAATCCACGCAGGGTTCGTCTCCTTCACCATCTAGCCTCCAACCTTCCCCGGCAAATCCTTCATTGAATACTTCCGATGGCAGCGGCTCGACGTGGAATACTTCCGATGGCGGCGACTCTTCAATTCCACGCAGGGTTGTTCCGTGCCCCCATCTCGCCCAATCTTCATCACGATGGCGGCGACTCGACGTGGAGCCACGATGACGGCGACCCTCGAATTAGGCAAAGGAAAGGACGAAGATCGAAGAAGAGAGAGGGGCTAGGGTTTCTAGGGAGGAAGAAGGGAAAAAAGAAAAGATCAGAAAAGAAAAAAAAGGAAAGAAAATATAGAAAGAACGGAGATGGAGGAAGAAGGGCTAGGGTTTCTGGGGAGGAAGAAGGGAAAAAAAGAAAAGAAAAGAAAAAGAAAAAAGGGAAGAAAAAATTGAAAGAATGGAGATGGCGGAAGAAGGGGCTAGGGTTCATGGGGGAAGGAGGAAAAAAAGAAAAGAAAAAGAAAAAGAAAAAAGAAAAGAAGAAAAAAAGAATAAAAGAAAAATAAAATATAATCCTATAAAATCCTTTCATAAAATACATTAGAATTTAGCTAACTCTACGTAAACTTAAAACAATCCAATGAACTTACAGAATCTATGGATTCTAAATAATTTATCAAAATCTTGTAAAATCTAAATTGAATACACCCCCCTAAGTTTTATAAGCATTTCTTGCATTTTATTATTAATTTTTGAATTGTTTATCTTTCTTTATTTGAATGTACTTTCATTTTTTTAAATAAAAAGTTTTGTACATTTCAAAGTATAAACTAGATACGTATATATACATTCATCCCAATATTTACCGAAACCGAACCATCCCGAATCATACAAAATCGATACTTCGAGACCGGGATCAGTACGATGTAAAATCTCATACCCAACTAAAATATTTGGTAGAGTATCGGTACGAACCAAATACCGTACCACGTTCACCCCTAAATTGTAATCTTCCATTTGACTTATATTGACCCAGTAGTTTTTCATATCAATCTCCCTGCTCCTCACTCATGTTTGCCGACTGGTAAAAATTAGTGACTTTTACCTAAGAAGTAAAGAAGAGATTATAGGGTAAGAAGTAATCAATCTGATTGTTTCATAATCAATATGTTATCTAAGTCTAAATTATCCAAGTCCAAGCCAACGTAATGGGAACATTGGGAAGTCAACAATTTTTTGAGTATAAAGCCAACAAAATTTGGGTGGTGCAAGGATGCATTAAGGAACAATGGGGATTTACCAAGAGATTAGGAGGGAAATAAATAATCAATTTTATGGTCGGAATGCTATAAGTATTCCATTTAAATTGGTGTAAGATTACATTTTCTCATATATATATTTAGGACAAATAACTTAGTAAAATTTTATAAAAATGGGATCTAAAGAGGGTGTAATTAAATAAAAATCTATATTGACTCGGTCAAATTTAAATAAAGCATCATATTGTAGTGATGAATGTAACATGAGCAATGTTATTTTAACATTAGAATCTAGTGTCATATCATGACACTTGGTCTATTTAGGCACCACACGGTGCTTCGCCGGACCCCAAAGTAATTTTTATCCCTTACAAACTCTAATTTTGATAGTAGGGGTGTACATTTGCTAAAACCAAACTGAACTGAAATTTCGGTAATTTTTTTTTGTACCATATACCGAATCATATTAGATCGGTTCGGTTTGGTAAGAACCAAACAAAACACGGTTTAATATACGGTTTTACCAGAAACCAAACATAACAAAAAAAAATTAAAATAATGTCATATTCATCCTCCAACTGCAAACGAAAGAAACACATTGTGGAAGATATACTCTAAATTGAAAGAACATTGCAACACTTTTTAGGCTAGTAGTGTCAAATATACAAAAAATTTTAAATAAATTCCTTAATTAGTCCTTCACAACATGGGACAACATGAAATTTTTTATATTTAGTTCTCTATTATCAAATATTATGCCCGTGATCCTTCTTTTTTGGTTATCTTTCACAAATAGTCTTTTTTTACTCTTCTATTATGTTGCTAATTTGAAACTAAAAGTGTAATTTGACAATTTTGTATTTAGTAATTATCGAATACCGACTTTTTTAATAAACTAAACCAAAAACTGATTTAAAAAAAAAAGACATCGAATACCATATGTACCAAACTTTCGATTTCAGTTTAGGGATATTTACCGAATTGTGCACACCCCCATTTGATAAAATACCTAGCTGATCGTGAATCGTCAGTCTCCTTTCTTTTGAGTTTGGTTGGAACTTTCACAATGTTCATTTTATTGCTATAATAACATTTCATTTTGTTGTTAATAACAAATCTAGTACATGAAATAATATTAATAAAACTTCGAAAATGAAATGCGGAATTTCGTGCTTGTTTTCTTGCGCATACTCAGAGCATGCTAATTATAAATATGCACATTTACGAATTACATGACACTCATCGCATATACAATAAAATATGGGCCATCTTGATGTGTAGTATAGGCTCCTGTGGTAAAAAAGACAATAAAATTGTACTCCGTAAGAGGTATTGACTCCAATGTCATGGAATGACATCAAGCACTTAGAGTGTCCCCTTTTGTCGAAATGCTACAATATTTAGGGGACAATGGTGGGGTGCAAGGGAATTAGGGGAGGGGGAACCACTTTCGAGTCCAATAGAGCACTGTTGGTAACCGATGTCATCGCATGACATTGAGATTCAATGTCAACTGAACCATGATATTTTTAGTAATAACAAATATCATAGTACGTATTGAAGCATAGTTAATGAAAGACAGTGCTGAACATGGCTAAAACAGAAACTTTTCATCAATTTAATGAAAGGCATACTGCTCGATATTTTTCATGCTAGCCACGGCTGCTCCCCGGACTGCAATATTTTCCTAGATTGGCAAAGTTGGATTAGACATACCAATAACCGCTACAATGAATTTTGTATAATCAGACGGAAAAAATCAAATCCGAATTTGCTAGGAATATAACAAATTTGGAGGTCTTCCAATAATAAGGACAAGTGACGATAATCAGTACAGTTCTTTTGACACCAAGCAATGGTATTGTATTATGATGTCAAGACTATTTGGAGGTCCTACAGGGCTCAGTGCAGGTCCTGACCCAGCTTACACCCTCCTGAAGACATCTGTTCGACGCAATTGCCAACCCCCAGGCGACCAACAACCACACCCCTACCCAGCAGCCTGGCCTAATGGAGCATCATAAGACTCTAAAATGACTTGGTGTCATATTATGACACCAAGGCCCGATATCAAAAGAACCGAGTTTGACAATAGTATAACAACAAGTCTTATTCCAACTAACTTGGGGTTGTCTACATGAAAGAAGAGGTGAACACGTTCAGCCATTCGCCAAAAAGCTCTCTCCCTTTCTTTCAATCCATAGCCTCACTTAAGTGATGATAATGTTAAGAATAATCTCAAGTTTGCTTCGGTCTTCATTAATTGCAGGGTGAGTGGGGGGGAGGGAGAACTTTGATGTTTTCTCTGCTTTTACTCACAAAAAATGAAAGGAAAGTCACATTTCCATTTTTACATTACATTTTCCTTGCCTTCTCTTTTCATTCCAATTTTCTTTTCTTTTTCATTTTAACCAAACACCAAAACTGCTTTTCCTTGCCATTTTCTTTTCTTTTCCTTTCCGAATTCTTTGAACCAAACAGAGTATAAAGAAATAATGATGAGAATTATAAGCTTACCTCAACTCATAATGTTCCTAAATCTGGACTTGAGCGCAGAAAAACCCTCTTCAGGTGAAGATACATGCAAAACCCACCAGCTTCCAAGAAATCCAAAAACAGTTAACTTCTGATCTTTCAATTCCACGTTAGCCAAACAGAAGATTCCATAATCTTCAACCTCAACTTTATTGGCATGCAGGGACTACAATGCAAATCATGCATACACTTTGTTGAAAAATGAGCTCTTTATATATTAACAACTTGTGAGGCACCCAACATATGGCTGTATAAGCAAATTAGGAACTCTGGAAGAATATAAGATACACAGATACTGAACCTTGCCAGATAAATCAAAGAAACAAGTATGGCATACTACCTACATTAGTTCATGGCATCTACTTTGTTTTTTTACACTCATGAAGCAAATACATATGCTAAAACTCCCCTTAAAGTTGGAGCATGAAGATCAAATGCTCCAAACTTGTTACAAATATACTCAACCCTAGGTCCTCATAGAGATTTAGTTTGATCATACATGATCATACAACCTTTTACCCTAAAGGCAGACACAATAACGAAAGTAACATGGGAGTTAGGGGAACACTACGATGTCCAAGGTCATTCTAATCTGTTACATTTAAATTTGATCATAGCAAACTCAAAAAACAGAACTAGATATGACATAAAATGAAGTTATAAATTATTTCAATTAATCAATATATCAATTATAAACTATTTTGATTACACAAAATGTCAATGGTTAAAGTATCAATCAAAACACAATTCATATTACATGAAATTATGCATAGTGTGGAAGTTCATTTACGTCCATCACATGGAATACTGCAATATCACAAGGGAACACTGGGAGGGGCATATTATTTAAAATGAATGGTTTAAGAAAATCTCAACCCTTCAAACAGTGATGATGACTGTGTTGGATCAATAACTGATAAATGGTCAACTTTAGGGTAATATACGCTCTTTGGAGGACACCTTGTGACAAAGAGAAGCAAAAAGACAAGGTGTGGTAGCTCGTTTAATTGCAGAAGTTGAATTTTAAACAAAGGGTCTGAGTGTCATTCTTGAATATCAGATCATTAAGTGGGAGGGCCCTATGAGTCTATCATGAAAACAAATCTGCAATCAGCATAGCTCACAAATCCAATGCAACATGATAGAACAAAGCACATTGAGGCTGATAGACGGTTCATTAAAGAAAATATAGACAACAAACTGTTTCAAATACACCCTATGTGCCTACAAATGGTTAGTTTTCTGATTGACTGGCTCATTTTTTTAGACTGTTGTATCCAAGGTGGGAGTGGGTATTCATTCTTATTCACCAGCTTGACGGGGTGTGAAAAAAATGTGTAATTATGTATTTACTTTTGAAGATGTATATTGTAGCCTTAGATTTAAAAGTGCCTTATATTTAAGAAACAACAAAACATCCCAGTAGGATCCCACGAGAGTAGGGTCTGGGGAGGGTGTGTGCACGCACACCTTACCCCTACTTGAAGAAACACATATTCTAATCTCTTTTTTCTTTTTCATGTGCCTTTGATTTATGAAGTGCGTCTCTCAATCTCTTTAATATTCATGGTATCCCCTAAATCATGTTGTCTAAATTATTTTTACTTTCAACAAATCATGGAACCTAATTTGTTCGGATTGTTGTATATAATAAGTTGTAACACATAAACATTGCAATATACTGAAAACATTCTTTTTTCTCATACTTCCTCTATCCCAAATTAGTCATCCGAGTTACTATTACATCTTCTCGATAACTTATGTTTGTTTGTATGTTTTCATTGATCGTATGATAAAACAAAATATTCTTGTCACATCAAACTTTGTAGAACTTTTGATGTAATTTTGAAATATGTAACTTGTATTTTTTATTTGTATAACAATTTGTAAATAAAATCATTTTAAAAGAGATGGAATTTTGCATGTTGTTCGAAATGGGAAGATTAATTTGGGGTGGAGGAAGTATGTGTTCTGACTGTTCTCTAATGTTCTGACATGATCTCAGGCCGTAACGCACATGATACCTAGGCACTCGCAAATAATGGAAGACGCCAAGTACACTTAGCTTATGCAGACAGAGTAAAGACATAAAAGTATGGTGAACACTGTACCTACATCAATGCATGACTGCATGGTCTCTACACTCATGGACCTAATACATATTCTAGCACACATAAATGGATGAGTGCTGAAAGCATTCTTCTAACACAAGACCAAATAGACATATGCAGAGCTCACCTTGAATCTATAGATGAATGGGTGATTTTGGATGACTTGATTTCGCATCTGAAATATATAGCAAAAAAGAGTCATGTCAAACCCTTCACTGTTAACCACTGTGCCACATGCACTCAGAAATGTATTTAATATTATATGGTAGAGAGCAGCTAAGAACATAAAGTAGAGTTACATTGTGCCTGTAATAAGGCTAAAGAAACAGGAAACCTTTGGCTTGTTTGCTAGACACTTCTGAATTATTCTAATCAGCACAAGTAAATTTCCACTTATTTGGCTGACAATGATGTTACTAAACACTCTTTATGTGTAAAAAAAATCAGTAATTACTTCAAAAAAAAAAATAACCATCACGAAAGAAGCCTTTAGATTCACGAGAGCAGAAGAGAAGCATATAGATCCTTACCTCTTCGACGAAGAAATGAATTGAGAGTGGGCTCGGCTTTGTCACGTAAAGAGTAAGAGTGACTTTTGCAACAATTATCAGAGGATGACCCCAGTTCAGGAAAATAGTTACCACTAGGAAAATTGGAACAACCAATTTCTTTAGTAGGACCAAGAAAACCCGGTGGTCTTTTTTAGTTTTGGGATTTTCCAATAAGCCCAAGTTATAACCATCATCCAACAAAACACCAAATTCATCTACATATTAAAAAAATTAACTTTTAGACACCTCTGAGGATGCATGGTATGTAATCTAAACTCTATGGGGCATTTGGTTCACACAATGTAAGGTTATTTAGGTAGTAAAGTTACCTCATCAAAGGTACAGTAGGACTACATGAATGTAAGATTAACTTGAGTTATTTTATTCAAAAAAATGTGATGTTGAAAAGTTCAAAAAGTTTTACAATGCCTAAGAGACCCAATGTAATCACATTATCCCCAATATTAACTCATTTTCCTACGTAAGGGTAATCTCAGCTTACCTTGTAATTTGAGAACCCGAACCAACCAAGATAATCTCACAGTGTCTTTCTCATGCTATCTTACCTGAACCAAACGCCCCCCTAGTGGTGGTTATATGATCATATTCATATACAAGTGCAGAATTATATTTGAAACATATCGGGCACAAAAGTACTTTAATCGCTTACCGTCCATAGCATACGCATCACGTGGCCACGAGTTAAGAGATCCGAGCAATGCTGACAACCCAACAGCATTGCACAAAGTAAAAGTGCCTCCTAAAAATGCAATTAAGAAATACCATTCAACATTCCTATAATTGTTTATGCTTCAACAAAAAATATGTGGATAAATATATCAGTCATGTTGAAACATTTACATGTTCCAATCGGCTACCTAAAAATCCCCATCTAGGCCCTCCCTAAGCCTACCTAACTTGCTACTTGCTAGGGCCATGTCTGCCGTCTAGGGACTGTGCTAAATCTGTTTAGAACAATGGTTTTTAGCTTCAAATATGGAACAACAGCATTCAACTTGTTATATTTTAACATTGGCAATATAGCATTGAACTCGTCAGCTATATACATCAGCATTGATTCAGTCAATTGATGAGCTAAAACAGATAGAAATTAGTAGTGCGTTTTTAACCCTAACCTCGATTCTTCAATTTCGAGAACTGCCAATGACATGACCGAACACCAAATCGGTTTCTGAACATTGAGAGCGAACTGTACACTTGAGGTTTTAACCTTTTCATCCATGTATCGATTAAACCTCCAAATTTTCCATCATCTGCAGAAGAAATCGATTTAACCAAAATGGTCGAAACTTGAGAATCCTATGAGCAAGGCAGCAAGCAATGCGCTAAGGAGACTTACATAGAGCTCGGGACGTCGAGTAAACGGGCCTGGTTGTAATCGATCGTAGTAGTCTAAAGGCATGCATCGGTGTGGGCTTGCGTCTGCTCTCTAAAGCTCGCCACTGATCAGATAGTAGCCATTTTCTACGAATGAAACCTCTGATTTCTGAGCTCGTCGTTCGCGGAAGCAAACACTACCGCAGTAACTTGCTCAAACAGAAAAATGGGCCAAAAATGGGCCAAATAATAAAGAGTGGATCACAGATAAATTGAACTTGTATAGATCATATTCTTAACATACTCTCTCCGTCTTAAAATTAATTTCCCAGTTTGACTTTTGCAATCAAACTTTTTAAACTTTGACTGTATATTACGGAAAAAATATATTGAATTTTCAAATAAATTTATTATCAATAGATTCATTTTGAAACATAGTTTTGAAATATGTTATTTTTGTTATATATATTTATATAAAAATGGAGATATTAATGGTCAAAGTGTCGCATTGGAGACCGTGAAAAGTCAAATGGAAAGTTAATTTTAGAACGGAGGGAGTAGTTTTTCTTCAAAATAGTTGTCAAAAATCAAGAGTTGGGAGAGTTTTACATCAGAGTTGTCTAAAAAGAAATAATTCTAAATAGAAGTAAAACATAGAGAAAGTACCAAAATAAAAGTTCTATGTCTTTATTCTTTAAATAAGAGTTTGTATTTTGGTAATGTGGCTCCTATTTTAATGTAAATACATTTTAACTCTCATTTCGAGTTAAAATGGTCATGGTTTATAATGTACCAGTAAATACATTTTAACTCAAATTTCGAAAATAAAAATATTTAAATACATTTTAATTCTCATTTCGAGTTAAAGAGTTTGCATTTACGTAATGTACATGGTCATGGTTTATAATGTAAATACATTTTAACTCTCACTTCGAGAATAAACACATAAAACTCCTAGTTTAGTATATTTTCAATGTTCTATTCCTATTTTAGTATTTTGCCCTGATCTAAATGGATCAAGTGTCATAAAAATCAAACATAATGTCAAAAGAACCTAACTAATGTGGCTTCTTTGAATAAAAAAAATGTTGTCGGTGCCCAGTGGGCGTTGCGTAGTTGGCAAGGGCAAGAAGTGGCAAGAGGCAAAACCCGAGTTCGATTCCTGACAACTGCGTCAGGAGGCAACTATTTTAGGCATAGGGTCTCTGCGAGTACTAGATGCAGACTCTAGTCTTGTGCCACCAATTTATAATCAAAGTTCAATTTACCTCCTCTCAATGACCGTTCGATCGGGTCTTGGGGGCTCGGAGATGGGGCTCATCCTTTTTTTAAATAAAAATGCTAAAAACTCATTGCAATTAACATCATGAATGACAACCGTATATAAATTTGTACACACAACCAATAATCATCTATTAAGTTTGTGTGTTCACAAAGGATTATACTTTGTGTGTTCACTAAAGATTATACTTTGTGTGTTCTGCATATCAACCGTGGTGGTTTCTCGCATGACTATTTTTTTAATATATTTGAAGAAAAATTGATACAAGGTATTTTTCTAGCCTTTTTATAACGCCCATGTTGGATGTAATAATAACTAAAATATTACTCTCAGCAGTTAGTGAGGGTTAGTGAGGGTGTAATATATTTTTATTTTTTTATTTATTCTAATATTTTTAGATTTGAATAGAGAATATGCTCGATTGGTATGAAGTATAATTTAGGTCATCTTTAGTTAGACCATAGAGCTTGTTCTAATCTGATTTGGTCTAATTTAATTTTAACAAGACAAGTCGAAGAAAACATGTGCTTAGATATCAGTAGTGCGATAAATAAATCAAATATTTTTATTTCAATTCACAATTTTAATTTGAATATAATGATTCAAGTCCACATTATTCAAATACACATATAAATTTAAATATGAGTTTTTATTCGGATTTTAAATAAATACAATAGTAATACAAAAAGAGTCATATTCGATTCGGATGATACTCAAACATTCAAATATAAATACACACAAACCATTTGTTCAAAATTAATAGTAAAAGAATATAATATAGACTACATTAAAATTTTTAAAATATGGTCATATTAATGTAACATAAAAATATAAAGTACCCTGTATGTAATTTTCAATAGTTATATTTACTCTGTATAAAAGAAATAATTTGTAAAAGGTGCAAATGTATTAATGTTTTTGATATAGTATAAGAAATAGTGTAATTTAAATTATTCAAAAATGATGTTGGTCCATCATTTAAATTACATTTGTACAAACATTCATTTTAAGATTCAAATACTTATTTTGTCCTAATAATAAGAATTTTTATTCCCCTTTTGGGAAGTCTTAAAAAGATTTTTGTTAAAACTTTACCTGACTCATAATTTTCTTGTCGCCTTTGCATCATTTCCAACTATATACGGAGTATTTCACTATCCTTAGGAAAGTGAAATCAGAGTTTTTTGGGTGGAGTATTAATTATTATTCCATCTGATTTTTGAAAATATTTCTTATTTTATTTTTTTGTTTTCTTCAAAACAATTTTACCTTTCCAAAAAATGATTAATAAATCTAAATAAAGTCATTACAATATACTATATTCATTTTATTTTGATATGTTAAGTTATTGTAATGATTTTTATTTTTTTTGATAGTAAAAAATAATAGAAAAATTAAATTATAAAAATAAATCTCTCACAAATAAAAACATGATGAGGTATTTTTGGAAGGGAGTTGACCAGGAAAAATTTGACCCGATCTGTTATTAATCCGAAACCTGACCCAAAATTAGCGAGTTTTGAACATCAATTTTGTGACCCAAATCTAAAACGACCCGAACCCAAAGACCTATTAAATTTTCGGATCGGGCCAGGTTTGTCCCAACGGGTTATGCACTTAATTGTTTTACTTTTATTGGTTAGTTAATGAAATTTGCACTAAACATGACTAAAACATAATGACTTTCCTAATGTAGGACTTAAACTTTTTTATTCCCTAAATAAGACTTAATAATGACCTAGTGGAAGGAATAATGTCTAGTAATGATGGACATTTAGTTGAATAATGACTACTTGATAATGACCAAAAGTCCTACATTGGGAAATAAAAACATATGGTCCTATATTGGGAAAGTCATTATATTTTAGTCCTATTTAGGTAAATTTCTCTATTAGTTATTTAGTTTTATATATTCATATGAAATATGATATACCCATCAAGCTACTCAAAAACTCAAAAGGCGTAAAACCTAATCTAAATCCAGCGACATTCTAGTCTCTCTCTATGTCACTCTCTTTTGTTCTTCCACAGTTCCACTCTTCCACCGTCCGTCGACATTAGGTGCCGACTCAATCAAATGGTAAGAAGACACAAAAACAATGGTAGGATTTATAATCATATTTCATCATCTTTAGTTAGGTCTTCAGGTAACTCAAGTTTTAATTATTTTCTTCTGATTTTTTTTGAAATATTATAAATTTTTGGTATTGTGTAATTTTTTTGGTATGCTGTATTTTTTTTGTATGCTACAAATATGTAATGACAATACATGTTTTGGTATATTCTATAAAAAATGTAATGATGGTTCCATGTGAAAAATATAAACAACAATATGACTTTTTATCTATTGCAAATTTTTGTTTTGGTATGTTGCAAGAATCTCAATTTTCGTATAATGCATATATATTTTTTAGTATGTTGAAAGAATTTTCAAATTTTTTTCATCTGCTGCAATTTTTTTGGTATGATGCAAAAAATCTAGTATTTTGGGTATATTACAATTTTCTTTTGGTATGTTACAAATAGACTTGCAAACTTTTATGATTTCATGTTTTGTTTTGAATAATGCATCGACCATTTGATCTCTAAATAACAAAAATTTTAATTTTTAAATACACTTCTTTTCTTCTTAATGCGTTAGATCAACCTCAACCTAAGAACTGTGAGTCATGAACAAATCCGAACTTAATTTGAAATAACCTGAACTCCAATAATCATTCACTTCGTTTGCGATCCCAGTCACAAGTCACTCCTACACTGGCCTAAACTCGTCCAGAGCCCGGCCTCGTTAGCGCAGGCGTCGATGTATTGAGGAGGTGGAGAAGAAAGCCACAGTTGTCAGTTATCACACCAAATTCGCCAGAGATTTCCACAGCTTCGCGACAGGGGTAAGCATTTTCATCTCAGATTAGCAAATTATCTGGATGCTCGGATGTTTTCAATCGGAAGATAAAATCAAGCTCGTTCGTGTTTAGCTATTATTGGTGCAAAATTGATGGATTGCGCTCTATTACTGTAATTTCTTGCTTATGACTTATTTTTAGCCAATTTTAAGACTTTGTTGTTATGGTGTTTCAATCTTTGCACTTCTCCGGCTATGTTATACGGAGCGTTGAGCTGTGAAGATGACTCACGTTCGTTAGCGCGGGAGAATCCATGTGTGGTCATACAAGGATGGATAAGATCCGGAACTAGGTTACTTAGGGAAGGGTGGGAGTGATTCTGGATAACATGCGAGAAGCGAGGCAGTGGTTGCTTGGGCACGCAAGGAGGAGAAATATGAAAGGCTTGTGGTAGTGGGACTGTGGGAGTGAGAAGTGATAGAGGTAAACCTATGAGGAGTTAGAAGGAGGTGATTAGACAGGACTTACAACATCACTATCTTACCGAGGATATGGCCTTAGATTAGATAGGAATGATTTGGGATTATAGTAGTTGGGTATACCCTTGACATTCGTTTGTAGTTTATCTTGGTGTGTTTTTACCGTAGTTTGTAGTTTGTGCATGTGCGCCTTTTGTGCTTTGGGTCTATTTGGTAGCGCCGATATGTGTGCTTCTTATCTCTGTATTCTTACATTGTTTGTGCTACTAGATTTACTTTGTGTGCGTTTGAACCGGGGGTCTCTTTAAAGTAACCTCTTTACTTCCAAGTAGGGTAAGGTTTGCATACACATCTTTCCCAGACCTTGCTTTTTTTTTGTGGGATTTTACTAGGATTTGTTGTTGTACACTTGCTGAGCAAGTAGAATCATGTTTTTTTCTTCTTATTGCTTTTAGAATTTTTTTTCAGAACCATCCCTTAAAAAAAGAAAACTACTTGGTTGTTGCCACCAGATAGTTTCTCTAAAATATTCACGGTGAGCTTTAGACTTGATTTAAGTTGAGCATGGCTTCACCCATAGATGCAAACAACTATATCCTCTCCATTCAGTTTGACCTGTAATATTTATTATTAATGTGTCTGTAGACAAGAACATGCTCTCATATTTCAGTTAATTGGTGTTGTGATATGGAAGTATGAGTGGGTGTTTGAGTCAACTCAATCCGTTTTATTTTTACTTTAGTGTACAAAACAGAGCATTTAAGATAAGTTTGGATTGATTTTTGGGGGTAAGAGTGGGTTGGAGGGCAAGGCTTTGGATGGCGTAGCCTATACAACAACAACAATCCAGTCTCACCCATATATAAACAAAGAGACTGTTTCCGTTAAACACAAGATGCATTGTTGCATTTACTACTCAAAACTTCATAGAAAGGAGGAAGCAAAGGAAGCTTAATGTGTCATTTTGATTTCATCCATTATGTGCCCAAAGCTAAAGCCTTCTTGATAGTCACTCTTTTAGCTCCATATGCAATGGATGGTGGATGGCTTAGCCTATGTATGGAAAAAAATAGAATGCTCCTAACAACGAATAAAAGGTGGTTGAAATGTTCTATGCTTGCCTATTATAACATTCCTTCCAATTTTAAATTTTTTTCAAGTATGTGTGTGTGTGTGCATGCGTGCGTGCATCGTGAGGTGATTAAGCCCTCCAAAACCCTCCACCTAATGACCTAAAGTAATTCTTATAGATTTAGCCATTTTAGTTTTTCAATAAATAAGACGTTTAAGAAGACTTCTTGTATTATCCATGATGATTTTTTTTGAATCTCTTCTTTTTTTAGACCGTTTCAAATATCTGACTAAATTATTATTGTTGATGACAGGGAGGCACACAAAGTTGAAATTTTTTTGGAGTGGGAAAGAGGAGGCACAGATTACTCTGTTTGAAGGCAAGTTGTCCATTCACCTTGAACAATTTCAATATACTAAAAGGGCCCAAATTAATCTTTATGATTTCAATACCATTATCATCATCTTTGTGCCCCGTTTCATCCCATCTTCATAGACCTATACTGAATATCTTCGCACAACCTTCAAAATCTCACTTTTGCTCATACTATCTTAAATGTCACAAATGCCCCTCACTCTCTACAACTGCTTCAAGTAAAGGAAAATGTTTTGTAGTTAGCGTTGAGGATGTTGTGGAGAAAGACTGGTCATTTCTTGACAACGACAATGGTGAAGAAAATTATAATCAAAACATTGACAGAATTATAAGCGCCGGAGGGATATCAAACAATTCAAAGGTTCTAGTTTCAATCAGTTCCGAAGAATTTGTGGATAGAGTTGTTGATTCATCCCCTAGCAAACAAGTTCTTGTGGTTCATGATTCTCTCTTTGCATTGGCATGCATCAAAGAGAAATATGACAATGTTAAATGTTGGCAAGGGGAACTTGTCCATGTGCCCGAAAAGTGGGCTCCTTTTGATGCAGTGTTTATCTACTTCCTTCCTGCCATACCCTTTGCGCTTAGTCAAGTTTTGGACACACTTGGGAAGCGATCTGTGGCAGGTATAGTTATACTATCGCGTGTCGTTGATCTTTATCCATAAATCTTAATGCTTTCACATTGATCCAAAAAAGTTAGTTTGGTGCTTGTTAAAACAAAAATAAGTGGGGGCAATTATGGCATATTTGGATCCCGGGAAATGGTGGGAATGAAAAAAAATATTGGGGGCTCTTTTGACACCCAACCCCAGTGTCATCATATGATACCAAGTCTACTCAGGGTCCTACAGTGCTCTATTCAACTCCTAAGTGGTTCCTATCTCCTAATTCCCCATAAACCTCCTCTAGCCCGTCCCTTGCCCCCACCTCATTTGGCTAGGATGGGACTAGGGGGCGGGCTAGGGTAGTAGGGTGTATGAACTAATTTGGAATCAAACAAAGCACCGTAGGGTCGTCAAGGGCGTCAATTGGACCGATGTCACAATATGACACCGACCACACCAGTCCTTGGGTGTCAAAAAAACCGGCCTTAAAAAGCACAGGGTTCTTTTGATACCCAACTCCAATGTCATAATATGACACTCAGTTTATTTGAGGACCTCACGGTGCTACGTAACTACGTTCGGCCTTGAATTAGTTCTTACCCTCTAACTCTCCCCTCCCAAACCACGTCCCTACCTCTCCCCCACCGCAGGGGTGACAATTCAGTGTTAAATACCCGTAGTATTTGACAATGCATTATCACCAACATGGGGGAGTGGACTAGTGGGGATTCAAGGAGATAAGGAACCACTCGGGGACTAGTATTTGACACTGGTCCTTTGTGTATAAAAGAACCAAGCTCAAGTCTAATTCCTGGCAAAATACAATTTTGCAGGTGCAAGAATTGTGATAAGTCACCCCCAAGGCAGGCAAATGCTTGAAGAACAACGCAAGCAATTCCCCGACGTGATAGTCTCGAACTTGCCAGATATGGAAACACTTCAAGACGCTGCAGTTGAGAACTCGTTTGAGGTTCTTAACTTTGTCGACAAACCGGGGTTTTACCTTGCTGTCCTGAAATTCAAGGGAGGGGCTTAATTAGCAAGATAAACTGCCATAGAAGATTTTAGCAGCAAAGAACCACAAATCCAATATGTATTCCAACAGTCAAAGTCTGGTGAGTGTAGGATAGGATATATGCAGACCTTATCCCATACTTCAATTTAGCCTCTTGTGGATTTATAATTTTGGAATACTTTTATTGAATAATTTTGTTGAACACTCTTTGGATTTCCCTGGCCATTTTTACACTTCAATAACTTACATTGATTATCCATTTTTTTTTGGATTTCCCTAGCCTTCACAATAAACTTATGGTATGTTTGGGAACATGGATTTGATTTCCAAATCCGGATTTGGCTCAAATTCCATGTTTGAGAAACTAAGAAATTTTGAATTTGGATTTGAGTCAAATTCTTTTCATTTATAATAAAGTTTAATTTGAAATTCATGCACATCACATTGTCATTTGAAATTCAAGGTTTCAAATTTTGGAATTGAAATGCATGAATTGAAATGAAATACTACCTCCGTCCCGCTATATTCGTCCACTTTTGACTTTTGGAACTGTTCATCTAAGCACTTTGACTCATCAAATTCTCTCAATGTGTAAGCCTAAATATAGTCATGTGTGATCTTGTTTGATTCGTCTTAACATATAGATTATTAATATATAATTTCTATAATTTTTTAATATACAAATTACAAGATAAAATGGATTAAAGAAGTGTATTGGATGGTGTGCAAAAATGAAAGTGGACAAATACTCTGGGACGGAGGGAGTACTAGTTGTCAAACACTACCTTAGGGAAAAGAGCACTCCATGATCAATGATGAGTGTTGAAATTTACTCTCGGGAATATACATTATGTATAAGCGTAAAGGCATACTGACAATTATGTGATTCTTAAATGAACATATACATATATTTTATAATGAACATTCTTTGAATAAATATTACGGAATAAAATGAGGTATATTGCATCTGTTCTATTACGTAAAATGATTTATCTTTTTACTGTTACAGTCTTTCCATAATTTTGTTTAATTGCATATTTTCATTAATCATATGATAAAATAAAATATTCTTGTTATGTATTATTTTGTAAAATTTTTTATGCAAATTTTTAAAATATATAAATTTTATTTTTTAATTTCTATATAAATTTGTGAATAGAAGAAATTACCCTAAATTGAAGTAAAACATAAAAAAGTAACAAAATAGAAGTATTATATTTTTTTCTTAAATAGGAGTTTGCATTGTTGTAATGTGGCACTGTACATGTGCATATGACTATACGTTTTAGTAATGTATATGATCATAATTGGTAATGTAAATGCATTTTAAGTCTTATTTTAGAAATAAAAACATGAAACTCTTATTTTAATATATTTTCAATGTTTTACTCCTATTTTAGTTTCTTTCCCTTGTAAATAATGTCAATTTAAAAATTATTCTGTATTAGATTTTTCACATCGTTTGAATAAAGAATATCATTTTAGGACGAGGAGACTATAATTGAATAAATGTTTTATGTTTAATGTCCGGCGACCGGCCGGGTTGTGGAAGACCGGAGCAGCCGGTTCCCTTTTTTGTCTCATTTATTCTTCCCAGTGCATCTCAAGCAAAGTATTCATCACTCTCCTCCTATCCACAGTAAAAAACTCCCGAGACTTTCGGTGCCGAATCGGAATCATCCATTGGATCGGCCGTCTCTGTCACCAATTCGCATACAAATTGATGGCTGAACGCCTAAACAACGGATTGAAGTCCAATCGCATGAAGATCTAAGTTCTGGAAATTGAGTTTTCTGGGAGCGAATGATTCGCAGAAATGAAGCATAATTCGCTGCGGAGGTCTAGCTCTCAGAAACTGCACCGGAGATGGAGGAGGAAATTGTCCGTACTGGCGCTGATTTTGGTCGGACTTTGCGTCGGAACTTTCGCGCTCATGGAGACGCACTACAGACGAATCAAAGTGCCCGCGTTTCTGTCTCACCAGGCTGTTCAGAAGCCCAAGATTGCGTTTCTGTTCATAGCTCGGAATCGGCTTCCTCTTGATATTGTCTGGGATGCCTTCTTCCAGGTAGGTTGCTTGAGTTTTTTTTGTGGATTACTTTCTGATGTGAAAATTTTCTGGTTATTGCCGCATTTTGAGTTTTGATTCAGCAATTGTCGAATTATATGAATATATTGATGTTATCTGGTCAATTTCTTTTGTCTAATTCACCTAGAGACCATTGTAATTTTGCATTGATTGTATTACCTCACAATTACTTTACATTACTAAAAGGTGTTTTTGTTTTAATAAATCTACCTAAATAGGATTAGAACATTGAACTAATACCAAAATAGGATCTCGTATATTTTTATCCGACCGTTGGCACTGTGCATTGCCAAAACTTGGCATTGTGTGTTGGCATTTCAGATTATTTTTTGGCATTATATATCGACTCATTTTGTCATTATATGTTCTAGTTTGGTGTTAAAACACTGAAAGTCCTTTATATAAGCATGTTTTAGTCCTATTTTGGTCTCACTTTTGTTTTTTTAATATTTGGGAGAAATGGTGAATGCATGTTAGTTACTCATTTGACTATGAACCACACAAGTCATTCTTAGAAGAATCGGCCCTTATTTTGGACTGACTAAAAAGTAAATGGGGAATGTTTTTTTGAGTTATATGAAGCATATTTTGCCGGGTATTTCCCCCCATATATTGTGAATTGTGATGTGCCTCTAGAATTAAAAACGTGGTGGATGTGCTTATATTCTTTTTTGGTGTATCAGTGTATGTCCTGAATAGGGATTTGCTAACATCTAAGTATTTAACAACTTATAAATGCTTATGTTGGATGCTTCTGTGATGGTTACATCATCTTCACTTTTCATTTTATAGGGAGATGGGGAGAACAAATTTTCCATACACGTTCATTCGAGACCTGGCTTTCTATTCAACCAAGTGACAACAAGATCGGTGTATTTCTTGAACCGCCAAGTTAATAATAGCATACAGGTTTTGTTTCTAAAGAACCCATTGATTGAGATATCTTCTGGTCTCCCTACATATTTTTACCTTCATTTGTTTCAATCTTTAACTTTACCTCAATTTCTACTCAAATCCTTCAACGGAAGGTTTTTTTATCTCCATTCCAAGTCTCAAATCTTATTGTTAGCCCTGTGATATTTAGCAAGTGCCTTTTTCTTCAGGTAGATTGGGGAGAAGCAAGCATGATTCAAGCAGAGCGTATTTTGCTACAAAGTGCATTGGTAGATCTCTCAAATGAAAGATTCGTATTTCTTTCAGATAGGTGAGATGAGATTTTCTGATTTTCCTAATATTATTGCACATCATTGCAGGTTAACCATTCCTAGTACCATTACCACTGGTTTTTCATACTCCCCTACCCCCCAAAAAAGGGTCATTTTTCTAGAACTCCTTTTTCTGGTCTAAAAAAGATTCTGATTTTAGAAGTCTAAATTTATGTAAATTTCCTTATAAGTCAAGTGACAAGCGGGTTTATTTGATTACACCAAACAATACTGTAAATAAGTTGTAGGAGTACATCAACAAAGCCAGTAAAATCCCATAAAAAGTATGGTCTGGGGAGGGTGTGAGTACGTAGACCTTATCCTACGCGAAAGTAGAGAGACTGTTTTCAAGAGACCCCCGACTCAAACATAGTCAAAGTAAACCAACAAGGAATACACAAAAGCATGGCCAAGATGAGAACAAAGTAGAAGCAAAGAGTAAAAATCAAAATAAAGGAAGAGAAAGAAAGCATAAAGAGACAAGAAGCTCAGAAAGAGCACATAGAGACACAATCAACAACACACTACTAGTAGGGCCTAGAAGTCTGCCCAACTACTCTAGTCCTAGATCTTCAGACATCCTTATCTAAGGTCATATCCTTGGTAAGGTCCTAAGCCTTTAAGTCCATTATAATCACCTCCTTCCAACTCTTCCTAAGTCCACCCCTACCCCTACTCCTGCCCACTATCTTAAGCCTCTAGCATTTCCACACTGCACTCTGCCGCTTCCCATGCCCAAACCACTTCAGCCCCAGAGCTTCTTCTTGCTTATCTTCCACAGGTGTTACTCCTGCCTGTTCTCGAATAACCTCATTCCAAATTCTATCCAACCCCGTCTTTCCACATATCCACCGCAACATCCTCCTTTCTGCCACATGAAGTTGACGAGCGCAGGGTTTCTTCACCGCCTAGCACTCTGCTCTGTATAGCATAGCTGACCTGACTAGTGACAGATAAAACCTTTCATGCTACTTGATATCTTCTTATCGCACAAGACACCTGAAGCAAGCTTCCACTTTGCCCAAGCAGCTCCAGTATGATGGATAACATCCACATCTATCTCCCCCTGAATGACCGAATCAATGACCGAACCAAGATACTGAAATTTGTCTCTTAGGCATGGGGTGTGAATCAATCCTTACTTCCATTTTAATAAATTTTAAAACATTGTATTTTGATTTATTTGACTAAAAGTCAAAAGTTGTGTCTTACTTTAGAATGACTCTTTTTTAGATGGAAGGGTACTATGGAAGTATGGAGTCCTAAATATCTGGTGACACACATCTAAGTCTAAGTGATCACAAGATGTATTCTTATATATTGCTATGATGTTATCTAATTTTGATTAAGTTTCTTGATTTCATTTCAGCTGCATACCATTGTACAACTTTAGCTACACATACAACTATATAATGTCTACCTCCAAGAGTTTTGTGGACAGGTAAGGAGACAATGCATGTTCCATCACTTGAATTGTTTGCTGATTTATGTGGATATATTTCTTTTTTGTATTGCCTAAGTTATATAATAAAAAGCACAAGTTCATATCATTGCACAACGTGTGTAAAGTCGTGTGAGCAATAATTTTTGAATGCTTCTTTTTAGTTCATTGCTGATTACTGATTACAGTTTTGCTGATACAAAGGGAGGCCGTTACAACCCAAAAATGCATCCTGTAATTCCTGTTCAGAACTGGAGGAAAGGATCTCAGGTAATTGATTTAAGTCTGTTATTTTTGAAATTAGACGTATGCATGATTTGAGGATTGTTTGTTATCCTTTTCTGCATTCTGTTTTTAACTAAAAACAAGATTGTGAAAACTAGAAAAGTGTAATTCAGATTTTTGGTGGGAAATTACAATTTTCATGTTCCCCATGATTAGTATAAATAGAACTACTTTATAGTTCAATATACAACTGATATCATATAAAATTGTACAACAATAATTGGAAACTAACAACAATACAGAATTAGCCCTTTTCTTACAAGTTTGTAATTTTCGTGCAGTGGGTTGTTCTAAACAGAAAGCATGCCAAAATTGTAGTAAAAGATGAAGTTGTTCTTCATATGTTTCAGTTGCATTGCAAGGCAAGTCGCTGCTGATTAAGAAATTTTTGATGTTGTGTAAAGCATCAGTTTAAAGTTTATTTGGGTGGTAACTGATATATTCCGTTTATTTTTTCCATTTCAAAATGCCTTATTTGACATTTTTGAACTGCAAGAAACACTATGCTTGTGAAACCGTAAAGTGTAAACACATTTTACTCTTAATTCAGGATTCATAAATATATCCTTTCTAGTCGCATATGAAATCTGTGTCTGCAGTCTTCTTTATTTATGCATGCCCAAATTTGTTTTCTTACGTGCACAGAGTTTGTCATCACTTATTTTTATTTACCATGACATTTACCTGCAACAATTGTGCAGAAAAAACCACTACCTGAGTTTTGGAGGGAGCATCCAGTGGTGAGTTCTCTCACCATTTTTGAAGGCTATGTTTGGAACCTGGGAAATGGTAGGGAAAAGGGAAAAAAGTGCCAAGGAAATTATGTGTGTGT